ATGACAGCATTTCAAAGCAACCAGGAGACTGCTAGGGTAAGTAATTTCTTGAAAAATTGAACAGTTTGATTCACTCCAAATGTTAAAGACATGGAATCATATGCTAAAAAGGTACACAATCATTGGCGGTATCATTTTATTCCAACAGTCCTTAAGATAGAACAAAAGAATGGCATCAAGTATGGTATCTTCATGGAGCAACTACGAGTGTAGTTCTTCAAATGGTAATGGAAATGAAAGAATAGTTTATTTCCTTAACTGAAGAAGTACTAAGGAAGCAAATTTCATCTTAAGAAATAAAGATTCACTCCACACTAGAGATGTTATATATTTACACCTGCTTGAAAAGGCCTCGCCCAAATTATGAAAGTATTGGAGATCATGGAGCCAAACAAAAAAAATCATTTGTTAAAAAAAAAAGAAATAGGCATTATATCAAATATTAATATGTGTATATATATGTATATATATTTTTTTATATCTAATACCTTTTTCCTGAAAACCAAAGTGAATGTTTGAAAGATACCTTTGTATCAGCCACTTTTCCTACACACCAATTACTGTAGTCTCCATGCTTGTCAGGCAAAGATCCTCAAATCTCCACCTCACATATTCCAGCAAGATAGCACTAATAGACAACCTTGGCAATTTTAATATCAGATAAAGCAGCAGTCCAAACCATATCTTGCCAAAATATGCATGATGAAAGTTTGTTTTCTTTTGCCAGAGTAAGAAAGGTGTGGAGGCCATAGCATTTCCTTAACAGTGCTCTACTAGTTAGACTTTAGAATGTTTGCTCTTCCATTACAAATTGCAGCATGTCTTAGTGGACTGGGGTAAAATGCAGGAAATATGGGGATATTTTGAAAGCAATTGTGTATGTGTTCAAAAAAGTTCCCCCCCAAAATTAAAGCATTGAAAGACAGCTCTTCTTCAGAATTAAATTTCAGAGCCCTTGAGAAAGGTTCCAGTCTCTCTCTCTCTCTCTCTCTCTCTCTCTCTCTCTCTCTCTCTCTCTCTCTCTCTCTCTCTCTCTCTCTCTCTCTCTCTCTCTCCTGTGTCTCTCTCTCCTCCCTGTCTCTCTCTCTCGTGTTCTCTCTCACTCCTGTGTCTCTCTCTCACTCCTGTGTCTCTCTCTCTNTTTCGCTCTCTCTCTTTCTTTCTCTCTCTCTCGTCTGATCTCCGCTCTCTCTCTCTCTCTCTCTCTCCTCTCTTCTCTCATCTATCTCTTCTCTTCTTCTCTCTCTGTCTCTCTTCTCTCTTCCTCTCTCTCTCTCTCCTCTCTGTTGTCCTCTCTCTCTCTCCTCTCTCTCTTCTCTCTCTCTCTCTCTTCTCTTCTCTCTTCTCTCTCTGTGTCTCTCTCTCTCTCTCTTCGTTATGTCCTCTCTCTTTCTCTCTGTCTCTCTCTCTCTCTCTCTCTCTCTCTATCTTCTCTCTCTCTCTCCTCTCTCTCTCTCTCTCTCTCTCTTCTCTCTCTCCTCTCTCTCTGTCTCTTCTCTCTCTCTCTTTTCTGATCTCTCTCTCTGTTCTGGCTCTCGTCTCTGTTCTGTCTCTCTCTCTCGTTCTGTCTCTCTCTCTCTGTTTCTGTCTCTCTCTCTCTCTCTCTCTCTCTCTCTCTCCCTCTCTCTCTCTCTCTCTCTCTCTCTCTCTCTCTCTCTCTCTCTCTCTCTCTTCTCTCTCTCTCTCTCTCTCTCTCTCTCTCTCTCTCTCTGTCTCTCTCTCCTCTCTCTCTCTCTCTCTCTCTCTTGTGTCTCTCTCTCTCTCTCTCCTGTGTCTCTCTCTCTCTCTCTCTGTGTCTCTCTCTCTCTCTCTCTGTGTCTCTCTCTCTCTCCTGTCTCTCTCTCTCTCCTGTTCTCTCTCTCTCTCTATTGTCTCTCTCTCTCTGTCTCTCTCTCTCTCTCTGTCTCTCTCTCTCTTCCTCTCTCTTCTCTCTCTCTCTCTCTCTCTCTCTCTCTTCTCTCTTCTCTCTTCTCTCTCTCTCTCTCTTCCTCTCTCTCTTCTCCTCCCTCTCTCTCTCTCTCTCTCTCTCTCTCTCTCTACTTTCTCTTCTATTATCTCTCTCTCTCTATATAAAGCATATATGCATATCTAAAGAGAAAGAAGAAGAGATATCAATATATATCTTATAGATATAGATATATTACAATAACATATACATATATAATTATATATATATATAAATATATAATATATAAAATATATATATATAATATATATATATTATATATATATATATATATATAAATATATATATATAAATATATATATATAATATTATATATATATATATATATATATATATATATATATATATATACTTATACATATATTTGAATACTCTTTCGGTCTCCATTTCAGAGGACGGACACACATATTACCTCTGTCTCCGTCTGTTTACCTTTCTTTATTGATGATACATATTTCAATATTGGTCGATAAAGGCACCATTTTCATGTACGCTGTTCCTGTGTCTTTTATTATCGTTTTTCATGTGTTTGGG